ATATAAGCAGAAAAGAATTTCTGATAGAATCAATGGAAACACTAAAGAAACTGATTTAGAGAATATTACTCACATAGCCACCTAATGCCAAATTGTGCCACTGAATTCGTCCCAACAGAGGACAATAGAAAAATTTATCCAACGTGCACAAGATGATTTGGGTTAGAAATATTCAAACAGGCTAATATTGTAATCATAATCAACTGATAAGCAGGGATCTTTTATGTGTAGCTATCTCCTCCACTTGTGCAGCAGATCCTAAGGAACTTGCTCCTGAAATTATCCCTTTTCTCTCCTGCATCATCAATTTTCCCTCTTTACTCAGTCAACTCCATCAGCCTACAGATATGCTTTAATAACTCTCATTTTACCAAAGAAACCTCCCCTTGACCCTGTAAACCTTACAAATTTTCACAGGAAAAATTCTTTGAACCAGTTTTCTTTGCTCTATATGTCCATTCTCTCTTAAGCCCACTTCAGTTGGCTTTTATTACTATCAATATATTGAAACCCCTAGTGGAAAGTCACCAATAGCTTCCATGTTGACACACCAAATGGCCAATTATTAGATCACCCAGTAGCATTTGACGCAGTTTATCATGTTTTCTTTTGTGAAACACTTTCTTCCTTAAACTTCCTGGACAGTACCCTTTTTATTTAACTCCAAATTCTCTGCCCCTTCCTTTTCAGACTCCTTTGCTTGTATCTTCTCATCATCTTAATTTCTAAATGTTGGATTATCCCAGGTTTAATTCTCTGAACTCTTCCTATTTTTATTCATTGCCCAAGTAGTCTCATACAGTTTTGTTATTTTAAATTTATGTTTCAAGTCCTATCTTTCCTCAGAACTCCAAACTCTTATATTGAACTTCCAGCTCTACCTTTCTACATGATTGTCTAATAAACAAATCAAACTTTACATGTCTAAAGCCAAACTCTTCTCCAAACATACTTGTCCCTCAAGTACTTCCCATCCCAGTAAATGGTAAGAAGTTAGACCCAGTTACTTAGGTCAAAAACCATGAAGTCATTGGCAACTTTTTTTCTAACACTCCACATCCTGTTGGCTTTATTTTCAAAATATACTCCAAATATGAGTATGCATCACCAGTTCCTCCATTATATCTTGCCTGAAATACTGCAGTAGACTCCTAACTGCTGTCCCTCCTGCTTTTACCCTCCATAGTGATCCCTTCAAAACATACATTATTTCATCCCTTTACTTAAAACTTTTTAAAATCTCCTTATATCACACTTAGATAAAACCCAAGGTACATCTCTGAGTTTGAAAAGCCCTATATGACCTGGCCGCTGGCCACATTTCGCATTTTGTCTCTTTCTACTTTAACCCTTACTCACTATATTCCGGTCACATAACCCCTTGACCAGAGCTTTTGCAAATATTATTCTCCAAGCCTTGGAAGTGCTAGATACTCTCTCATTTCCTTTTGATCTCTTCTCAAATGTAACCTTGCCAAGAAGTGTTTCCCTGACTACTGTATTTAAAACAGCACTTCTTTATTCTGTCGCCTTCTCCTACTTTACTTTTTAATACTACTTTGCATTCATTGAAAATATTATGTTGCATTATACTATGTTGTGTTTATCATCTGTTCTACTAGAGCATAGTAAAGTCCATGAGGGCAAGGACTTTGCTTTGTTTACTGTTGCCTCCGCTGGTGCCAAGAAAAGAGCCTGGTACAATGTAAGTGCTCAATAAGTATTTGTTACATGTATTAATAAATGAAAGGCACCTAGTTTGTCTCACTATCCCACATAACATTGATGATATTTAATTCAGAGAGGGGATGAGAAAATTTGGTAAGACTTATTGATCTCAGATTAAAAAAAAAAAAACCCTGCTGCCGTTAAGTCAAAGAAATGCAAATGATATACTGAAATTATTTAACACAAAGGAGACAGTAAAGGAGGAACAAAGAAACAAAAAAGACATGAGATACATAAAAAACAAATAGCAAAATTGCAGATCAAAATCCAGTCATATTAATAATTATGTTAAATCTAATCAGTTAAAAGGCATACATTGTCAGACTTCATATAAAAGCAAGATCTGATTGTATAATGTCTGTAAGAAACACACTTTAGAAAAGGACACAAATAGATTGAAAGTAAAAGGGTGAAAATAGATATGCCACGCAAATTAACCATAAGAGAGCTGGAGTGGCTCTATTAACATAAGTCAAAATAGACTTTAAGATAAGATATATTACTATAGACAAAGAAGGGCATTTCATAATGATAAAAGTGTCAACATGTCAGGAAACTGTAATAATTATAAATGCATACGCTTCTAACAATGAAATGCCAAGATACATAAAGCAAACATGAACAGAATTGAAAGGAGAAATAAACAATTCAACAATTATAAAAACCCGTTGCCTTCGAGTACGACTCATAGCAACCCTACAGGACAGAGTAGAACTGCCCCATAGGGTTTCCAAGGAATGGCTGGTGAATTTGAACTGCTAACATTTTGGTTAACAGCCAAACACTTAACCACTGTGCCACCAGGGCTTCATAGTGGGTTAATATAATGCCTGGTCTCAATAACTAATAGAACAAAAAGAAAGTTAGTAAGGATATAGAAAACTTGAATAATACTTTCAACCAACTTGACCTAAGTGACATTTATAGAACTTCCACACTATAGCAGAATACACACTCTTTTCAAGCATACATGGAACATTCTCCAGGATAAATACATAGTAGACCATAAAACAAGTCTTAACAAATATAAATGGATTGAAATAATTTAAAGTATGTACTCTCACCAATCAGGATGAAATATGAAATCCACAAATGGAGGAATTTTGGAAATTCCCAACATTTGAAAATAAAACAGCACACTTTTATACAGATCATAGGTCAAAGAAGAAATTAAAAGGAAAATTAGAAATTATTTTGATCTGGATGAAAACAAAACAAAAATCAAAATTTATGACATTCAGTTAAAGCAGTTCTTAGAGGAGATTTATAGCTTTAAATGTCTATATTGGAAAAGAAGAAAGATATCATATTAATAATCTAAGCTTCTACCTTAAGAAACTAGAAAAAGAAGAGAAAATTGCATTCAAAGCAAGTAGAAGAAAGGATATAATAAAGACCAGAGTACAAATCAATGAAATAAAAACAGCAAAGCAAAGGAGATAATCAATAAAACTAAAACCTGATTCTTTGAAAATCAAAATCCGGAATGAAATAGGTAAACATCTCATGTTCTTAGGTCAGAAAACTTAATATTGTTAAGACGGCACCAGTATAAAACCAGTTGCCATTTGAGTCAACTCCAACTCATGGCAAATACTGCCCAAACTGGTCTATAGATTCAAATTAATCCCTATCAAAATCCCAGCTGACTTCTTTGCAGAAATGGACAAACTGATCC